GTGACTTTGGAAACCGAAAGGATATTTGAGAATACGGTACAGGGTATCCGAACTGTCGGAAACCTAACAGGTATTTGGCGAAAATGTTCGAAAACGGAAAAGGTATCCTCCGAAACCGAAAGAGTATGGAATGTGGAAAGAGTCTTCTCTTTCTCCTCTTTACACACTCGATGCTGCATCGTCGATCGTGTGTTGTGTGTGTATGGCTTTGATCTTTCATTTGACATGTGAGAAGATGGAGAACGGAGGAAGAAAATGGAAAACAGCACTGAGAGAGAATTTCAATTAGAAAGGCGGTAAAAAGCTTGTGAGAATTCGAAACTGAAACTAATCTCGGCCGACAAAAACAACGAACTTTTCCGTCATTATGTCTCGTAACGACGCGCTTTGCTTGTCAGTGTGTGATAAGATACGGAGAGAGAGGGAGAGAGAGAAGACATTAGTTGCACTATCAAAAGTTCCCTGAACTTATGCGATTGTGTATTGTGTATCTGTATTTTAAGGATGTTTTAATTGTGTTTGGATTGTGTAAAAAACAGGATAGACAGTTTTTATTGTGGATATACTTAGAGAACTTTCGGTCAGTTTGGTGAATTGGTTAGAAAAACATAGTAAAGCCAGTAACGGGTAAACTGTTAAGTAACTGCATTAATACGGTTTCAGTTGTGTTACCACTGTGCTCGACTGCGAATTGGAATCCTATTCCAACACGATTTGAATCCTATTAGAACCTATTAAAACACTGTCATCGGAGAAAAGAAGAACCTTTCATTGTCTTGATACATCTGGAGAAGAGAATATCCCTCAGAGAGCTATTATTCTTAATCCTTCTAACTCTCACCCTTCGACGCGAAAGAGAATGTGATGTAAATGGCCTTTTGCTGTCATTACCTTCCAGTGATGCATATCTATTGTCTCTCTCTTCATGAACGCTTTGAGTTAAAGCGTCCTCTTGCTTGACACGATCACCGAGAGTCAACCTTCCTCGTTAAGGTGATATGAAATGAAAGCCACAATTTCTCACCGTTGAAGCACTAGATTACATTTGTCCTTCCTACTTGCTGAATGAAACCAATCGATATCATCATTATAAATAAAGTGAACATGAAGTGAGGACGAGGCAGAAGCACCCCCATCATGTTCGTTGCCACCGCTTGTAAGTATCAAAACGATTGCACGTTTGTATCGGGAAAGGTTTTAACAAAACGCGTTCGTCATCACACATGGAACATGAAGAACTAACAGAATTTTAGGAGTTAATCAGGCAAATACGTTATGCTCTCACTTTCGTTTCTCTCCAGATCCCTATCGTCGACCTTACGCACCTATTGCTCCAGACAATCGATATAGCCGTCAAGAACGTTTGCTATCAACACCGGACTATGTCAAATATGTGAGACAAACGCGTCAATTGCTACAGTACCAAAACTGGGAAGTGAACATTGATGGGGTAAATTACACGCTCTCGGAGAAACTGGGCAAAGGAGGGCAAGGTAGAGAATGGTTTAATGTGTTCGCTCACACTATGGTGTTAAGGACCTTCATTCATCAATGTTGAGTTTGACACATCATGTGTTAGCCCCGGTAATAGAGAAATAAGATCGAAAGACATCGAAATTTTTTGCATTTTGTGGAGTGGCTAGCGGTACCCAACTCACAACCAAAAAAAATATACGACCTCTTTGTCGTGCGGCTCGTTTTGCTCCACGATGTTATTTGGGGGTCGACCCTCTTCACTTTGGGACTATTTGAGTAACATTGAACAGGACTGTTCCTTTCAGAAGTCAAGAATAACCACAAAGAGGATCCGAAACAGGCACTGTAATCCCAAACCTTTCAGTTTTGACAGACGGGATACATAATTCGGCTCGACACACAAAGTAAACTCTTTTTAGAACAGTTCGTAATCGAGACAAGGGAGAAACAAATGAAGAAAACACTTGAAGTGAAGTCGATTCTGGCATCTTTTTTAAGCCGGTTGGCTCAATACGTGATCTTTAACCAATCATAAAGAAACTTTTTTAGCATTTTTCACATTGAGAAACAATCAAATAAATTTTTTTTGCAACGAGATAAATTAAGTTCCACCGGAAGCATGCGGTCCCTTAAAACTATTCATCTCTAGGTGCCGTCTATCGAGCTCATCGAGAAGGAGACGATGCTGAGTTCGCGATCAAAGTGGCCATATGGCCCGTGAATGAAGAAACAGGAAAGATGCTCATGTATCGAAGTGCTAAAGATTATCAGAGAGAATTGCACATGCTCTACGCTTTGAAACATGAAAATCCGCACATTGTCAACGTCGAAGGATGGGGCCTGACGATTAAGCACAACGGCTATGGACAGGAAGTCGGTGAGTTGTAGTACTACATCGAACATTGCTATTCTGCTCCTTTCTTTCTAATTAGTATTTGCATATATCTTAACGGAACTTGCCGTACACGATGTGAAGAAAGAAATGGACATGCTGGCACAAGAAAAAGCCGTTAGCAATGCCAATGCTCTTGTTGCCGGCCGTAGTTATACCCATGGCAAAGATCGTCGCAAAATGTGGCGTGCATTGTTGTCATGTGTCGAAGCTTTGCACGTGCGGGAACGACCCATCGTCAATACGGATATAAAGCCGGGCAATTTTCTCGTCTTTCCCAAAGATCGAGAACGATATTTGAAGAAAAAGAAAGAGTTGGAACCAAACAATAAGCTGGTCAAAATAAGTGATCTCGGTGCGGGTTTTCTCATCGATGAAGGGTAAGCATGGTGTTTTTCCTCTCTCACTGAGTCGGCTTGGAACATCTGTTCTTAACAGCAAGTATGACTAGATTCGTCACGTTTGAGTCCTTTTCAAAGTTTTGCTGAGAAAAATTCATGTAAGCTAATAGATAAGTTTGTAAGTAAGTTAGCAAGAGATTTACACAACGAGTATCGCGTCTCAGCATTATTGATCTACTGTTTGTTCTTAGGGGTGAATACACAGGTTATGGAACGGAAGGCTACAGGTAATTATAACTATATTATTTCGAGCACACTCGAGCCTTTGCCTTCTCTGTGCAGTGCGCCAGAAGTAAAGATGCCGGAGCTATACACAGCAAGAGGCAGACGTGTGTCAACGAAAGCCGATATTTGGTCCTTGGGCGTCATACTTTATGAGCTTACTTATGGAACTCTACCACAATATCCTCAGTCTCAAGGGTAAGTATGCTTAAATTCAAAGGTTCTTCTTAAATACTTGATTTTGAAAAAAACGTAGGAAACTAAGGAACTTGACTACTTTCTAACTAACGATAAGCAAAATTTGCTGTTTTTTCTTACAATGTCTGTTCGTTACATTTTCAATCCGAACAGAACCTTAGCTCTTTTCTCTTGCATGTCGTTTCAACAGAGTACAGCCTGGCATATTCGAAATGGGCACCCAGCACACCGCTGCTCCGCCAGCTCACAAACGTCTTACTACCGATCCAAACCTTCGCGATATTCTCATGCGCACGTTACAATTGAATCCTGACAATCGACCGGACATCCATCAACTGTGGAAGCATCCATACACTACTGGTCGAGGCAATCGACGACGACGCTTTCCTTTCTAAGAAACTACACACACTTTGGTTCTCTCGTTTTTAACATTTTGTGTGCTTTATAATTCTGTTATTACAAGTAAACTTATTGTTTTGGCGAAACCTTTATTCCTACTGATTATTACCACTTATCAGTATTAACTGTGGTAGCCCGTTCTCTCTTCTCTTCTCTCTATCGGTTATCTGATAGTACATCTGATCGCTGAGACATAACTTGAAAATAACTGACACAGTCACTACTGTCCGACCATTAAAAAGACATACAATTTAGGCAATGCAGATCAGAGCTCCGCGTGGGCCGGGCCGGGCCCGAGCCGCGATTTTTGGGGCCACGCGGAGCTCTGATGCAGATATAGCATACAACTAGGCTCATACAAATGCAATCGAAAACACATTGAACAATTTGTTTATTGTTTTACCTTTACTCATGCGAAAACTATGGTCGTTTTCAGCTTATAGTTTAAGAAAAAGAGATTTGTTCCAATGTATTAAGGACACCTTATGTAGTGTTGAATGCATCTTTTTCTCTGACAGATTGATAAGCCGTAACCGAAATAAAATTCTTTTCTTTTCGAAGCAAAGGCATACAACTCATTTGCCCAGGATCACAGTGAGCTAGGCAATATCTCATTTTGTTTAGAGTTCTATGCTCTTCGAATTCAAAACATTTTTCAATTACTTAGACTGTAGGAGTTCTCTACAAAATGAAACGTATATTTATTAGTATTGGTTAGGACGATATCATTGTTATGTATTTAATAAAGCAGTACACGCAAAATATATATTTTCACAACGACATATTTATGATTTATCAAACATGTTTGAAAATAATTTTGGACTATTATTTCCAAATGGATTAATTGCATTGAGAGATATATATAAATATCTGTAGACTTTTCTATCAAAAATAGTGGAATGAAATGGGCTATACATAATGAAAGATTCATTTGTCACTTTGACAGAGCTGATAAACTGCTAGGAATAATAAAATTTGTCGATCAAATTGTTAGCAATGATAGAGGATGCCATTGCACTATAAGAAAGTTGATCATCCGTATCATCGCAACTGCTCGAATAGGTAATTTGAATCACGGGGAACTAACAACAGACGTTTTATCTATCTCTTTTTGCTTTTGAGGCTCAAAGTTCAAACATCATTCTCGTGTAATGTTGCCAATATTTAAAAAAATTCATATTGTCCCTCACATATCTAAAATTATCAAATGTACTGATACATTACTTCAGTTGTGGAGAAGCAAAGATGGAAATTATTTGCATACAAACATTGTTCAACAGATTCAAAATTTAGTTTTAGATATCATTGGTCTGATTTCATTTGATTTTGATTTGAAAGCGCAGCATATTGGAACAAAAAATCAGTTTTAAGTTGTGCTGTTTTGGACTTTTTACAGACAAGTAACTTAATAACGTTATTAGGTGGCATACCGAAACTCGTTAGTCATCTTTATTTAAAGTATAATCCTAAGTATCAAAATGCAAAACAAATATTGACAATTTATGCAAATAATATCATTAAACAAGAACAATTTAGAAGAAAAATCCAAACAGATGTTGAAAATAAACCAGATAATCTTATTTCGCTATTGGTATCAACGCTGAATGAAAATGATGAAGAACGATAACAGGGTAAGAAATAATTGACTTCTTATTTACAAGTTGATTAGTAAATTGTTTCAATTGTCAAGGATTGTCTCGTGTCGAATTATTAGATGAAATGTTATTATTTATTAATGCTAGTCGTGCAACATCTTCTCCTGTGTCTTGGTTTATTTACTACATGAACGTTCATCCTCAAATTCAGGCTATAATGAGGCAGGAATTAAATGATCATCATATAACACGCGAAACATGTCTGGCAATGGATCTATTAGATGAACTTGTTTATATTGAATATGTTATGCGAGAACTGCTGAGATTTGCTACAATACTTCATGGTATATTGAGAACACTGCAACAAAACGATGAAATTGATGGTGTTAAATTGAATAAAGGTGATGCGTTGTTATACCAGTACCAAATATAAACAGAGATAAACGTGGCTGGCTAAAACACGATGAATTTCGTCCAGAACGATTTTTAGAGCAAGACGAGAATGGTTACATAATATCTTTTGGTGGTGGACACAGAACGGACAAGATTTGGCTAAATTAGAATTGAAAGTAATTCTAACACGTTTCATGCAATTTGTAACGTTTCGAGATGGGAGAAGTATAGACGAACATGAACAATATATTACAATAACACCAAAACAATTGAAGGTTTACATCACTTTCGATATTTAGGAGTTGTACGTCAGAACTTGACATAATACAGAAAAACTTAATTTTTCGTTAAATTCATTGTACACATGTTAGCATAACGAAAACGTTATTCACTAATTTGGATCATCAGTCATATGATATATATTAAGTATGATCAGTTGAAATTATGATATTTAAGTACAGCATACAACTAGGCTCATACAAATGCAATCGAAAACACATTGAACAATTTGTTTATTGTTTTACCTTTACTCATGCGAAAACTATGGTCGTTTTCAGCTTATAGTTTAAGAAAAAGAGATTTGTTCCAATGTATTAAGGACACCTTATGTAGTGTTGAATGCATCTTTTTCTCTGACAGATTGATAAGCCGTAACCGAAATAAAATTCTTTTCTTTTCGAAGCAAAGGCATACAACTCATTTGCCCAGGATCACAGTGAGCTAGGCAATATCTCATTTTGTTTAGAGTTCTATGCTCTTCGAATTCAAAACATTTTTCAATTACTTAGACTGTAGGAGTTCTCTACAAAATGAAACGTTTTTCAGATGCTTCTGCGAATTATAATCCACAAAATCCAAATTTAAGAGAGAATTTGAGAGACCCGAGAGAAATTATATCATCTGAATCAGCTACTCAAGCGCTACAAAATCCTGTATTTTGTATTTTAATCTGTCATGAGTGTAGGGTTTTTTTCCAGAAGTTTTTTTAAAGTTTTTCATTTACTATCGTAAAAAGGAAGAATACAGGTGGCTATTTCTTTAATAACTTTTGAACAGTGCACTTCAAAGATTTGCGGTTTTCAGCATTGCATAGAGGAGATAATTAGCTACCAGTTGACATAAAAATATCTCAGAAAATACCACACGCAGGTAGTATAGTCAAAAGTAGAGGTTTGAAACGATTCATGCACCAATTTAGTCAAGACTAAATTGGTGCATGAATCGTTTCAAACCTCTACTTTTCTTCTTCATTGGAAAAATGGCATCGTTAACCCTTTATATAAAAATGAAGATAAACTAGCAAGGTCGAACTATCGTCCTATAACCCCTTTACAAGCCTTCAGGTATAGATGAAATTCGGTGAAATTCATTGGATGAAACGTTAAAATTCATGCTGAAACACTAAACAAGCTCATTTGATAAAGACGATTTCTTCGGCCAAGAAGCAGTTACTGAGATATTCAATTATGGCACCAGTCTAGTTGAATACTTATCCAACGTAGCATAACGAATTTTAAAGTTTCATCTAATGAATTTCACCGAAGTTCGCCTATATCTGAAGTGCATTCATGTCGTTATATGAAATACACCTCTCGCACAGTCTACATACTATTTGGAGGTGTCAATAGCTCTTGCTGACAATAGCTCGTAATAGTATGTAGACTGTGCGAGAGGTGTATTTCATATAACGACATG